ATATATCTGTCCACAGCAGCAACAACAAACCCTATGTCCACCTGCCTGGTAGGAATCCCATTGAAGGCTGGAGAATATTCAGCCAGCTTTGAAACATAAATGCCCAATGAACTTCCTGAGTCACACACCATTTCATCACACAAAAATTGTAGACAGCAAGCTGTAATGAGTAAAAACCCCATAGAGGAGTTGCTGCCAAGTTTGCCCAAAGCAGCTCAGGAACCCCAAGAATTAGAGCTGTTAGGTTCCTACCCACCACAATATTGCATTCATTTTAGGATCTTCCCCAAACCTTCTAGCCTAAAAGAATTCCACAACATAATGGAATATCGTGAGGAATTCACAGCCAAAAGGTGGTGCAATACTATAAGCCATATTGTAGCTGACACCCCAACTCATTCAAGCCCCAAAAGCCTCCCTAGGGGATTGTTCTTAATTTGTGGAGACCGGGCATGGGCAGGGATCCCTTCTCGGCTCTTAGGAGGGCCATGCACCTTCGGGCGGTTGTCCCTGTTGGCACCCAACGAAACCTTAATTAACAATTGGACTCACAAAAACAAATCAGGTAATAAAATCCAAAAGAGAAGTACAGACAATTTGGACCCAAACTGTGGTTCTGAAATTTTCCATTGGAGCAAGTCCAAAAGAATTGCTGTGTCCCTGTTTCTTCCGTGGGTTGCAGCAGCTAAAGCTCTAGGCGAATTGGGCCACCTAGAGTGTTGGGTAGTCAAACAGGCAAACTTAACATCCACCNTTCCGTGACCCCTGCAATGTCCTGTGTTCTGGTCCCTCTCCCCTCTGGCCATACCTAGCTGGCCGAGATCCAATTTCTTCCCACCCTCCTTTCAGATCCTAGAAAAGACCTGTGCCCCCTGACCTTGCCCTCTTTCTCCCTCTTGCTCTCTCTCCCTCTTTCTCCCTCTTGCTCTCTTTTTGCTCTTGGAGGCCCACAAGAAATAAACCTCTGCAACCACCGCAGCGGGGAAAGAGCCTCTTTTGTTATCTTTTATTCACGTTCATGTGGCGGATCCTGAGGCTTCACCCTAACATCTGAGCTAGTCCGGACAAAAGGGTCAAAGCCACACCCTAGGTCATGGGCAAGGACTCCATCCACTAGACCAGGTTACTCATATCCCCATCCAGCCAGGCCTTGAACATTTCAGGGATGGGACATCCACAGCTCCTATGGGTAGCTGGTTCCAGTGCCTCACCACCTCACAGAAATGTATTCCTCCCTAATATTTAATCAAAACCTGCCCTCTGTCAGTTTCAAGCCATTGCCCCTTCTCCTATAACTACCATCTTGTGCAAGAAGTCCCTCTCAGCAAGGCTATTTCCACTGCTGTAGTATAGACACTTGTTGGGATTAGACTGAATTACACAGGATACAGTTAATAACACAAAAAGATATGAAGAAGTGTCACAGACAGTTGTGAGAAAGCAGCTGTCAGCAGAGACTTGTGGTGGTATCAGGGAACTGGAGAATTGCAGTGCTGCAAATGTCCTCCCTACCTTTCTTCGTGTCCCAGTCCTCTCCACATTCACAGAGCAGTTGTGTATCTCATCCAGACCTAACTCCTTCTCTGATGCCACTTGAATGTCCTGTGGTGGGAACATGACCACTGCACTCTTCCCAGCCTCTTTGTGCCTGAGATGATTCTGCCCTCTTCCTTTGGCCTGGACAGCAGCAAGTGATAAAGTAGGAATGTAAATGCAAACAGCTGTGTGAATTCAATAGCTGCAACTATTTGAGGGGCATTTGCCACAAATTACCGATGTTAAAGAAGAACATGACCACAAGCCTAACAATAACCAAGGCATTAGGGATAGGCTTCTGAGCCACACAAGAAACAGTGTGAAAACAAAATTTAAATGAAGCAGGAACATTGTAAGAGAGAGAGGAAAGAGAAATGGGAAGGAAGTGGCCATTGAGCTCAAGGTGCTCTGCAACTTGGCCACCTCTGTCTGTAAGAAACTCCCTGGCAGCTGAGTGCTCTGGGTGACCTCGCTCATGGCACTGAGGGGTGCAGCAGGCACAGACCCACAGCTCTGCAGTGTGACAGCGTG